AAGTAGTCAGATAAGTAACTTACCTCTGCTTAAAGTAAGCAGCAGGTTGCACTTAGGTATTATTAAAGTAGCTGAATAATGCTGAACTTAGTTGTTAAGAATATTTATGTAATTGCAAATATAATTTCAAAATCTTAATAAAGTACTAGTATGACTGTTTAGGATAAAAAAAAAATTGTTAATAAAAATAATAATAAAATATAGATTAGAAAACTGTAATTAAAATAAATAGTGCTAGTAAATAATAGAAACAAAACTAGAAACTGTATTATGTCTTTTGATCTTGTTAATAATAATTTGTATATTAAAAACTATAAGTAACTAAAGTTTGTATAAGAAGTAAAATAACTATTAAAATAATAATAGTAGTTGATAAAAGGTAAGTTAAGATAACTATATAAAATATGTTAATAAAAATAACTAGTTGTAATATTTTTAAGAATAATAAACTATTAGAATATGATTTCTTTAAAAAGTTTATTAAATTTAAAAGAATTATTATTATATTTTTTTTTAAACAGTTATAATAATATTTTATTAAACCATTTGTAGCTATATAAGTAAATACAAAATATTATTTAATATATAAGTTTATCATTATCTAACCACTCAACAGTACCTAAATGCAACCTGTTGCACTAATTTAATTAAGCTAGAAATTATTATCTGTTTTACAATAGGATATTACCAATTGAAAATATCTTCTTATAAGAAAAAATAAAATAAAATAAATTTTAAAATTAGAAAAAGGAGAACCAAAAATAGTAAATAGAATAAAACTAACAAAAAGAAAATGAAACTAATCTATAAAAAGAATAAAAAAGAAAACTTGCTAATAGAATAAAACTTTATTCTATAATTGTTATTTATTACAATATTTTTATATTTTTATAGACTATGATTATTCTTTAGAAACTAGGTATTTTAAACTAAATAAAAACTGTATTCATTTGTAGAATAACATTTGAGTCAAACATTTTTATATAGAAGAAATCTTTAAATAGTTAAAGTGCTATATCAAGACTTAAAGTACATTTAAGTAGTCTAATTTTTTATAAAATTCTATAACTATTTTTTTAAAAAATATTATATATATAAATTTAGAATATATGCATATCTTAATATATTTTTAGTTTTTTTAATTTAAATTCTTTTTTGATCTGCTTTATATAATTTATTAACTTATGTGTTTGTTGTATTTCTTATTTGTTATATTTAAATAAACATATTATTACAAAAAAAAGTAATACACAATGTTGATCTTTTAACAGAAATAAACCAAATTCTATTTTTTAAAAAAAAGAAATTAAAAAAAATAAAGAAGATGTATATTGTTGTAAAGATTCAAATTAAAAAGAGTTTTTTTAGTTAGTTTTCTTTTTTTTTGCTTTTAAAATTTTTAACCAAAGAACTAATTTTGTTTTACTTGCTTTTAAAATATCTTTCTAAGTTAAATACTAAATATATAAGAAAGTTCATTAAACAAAAAACTTAATTTAAGACAAAAATTTTTAAGTTTTATCTGCTTTTCAGTATTTCATATACTTGAGTTTTGTTATTTAGTGCAAAACCAAAAATATTATCTACTTTAAAGTCAAAGTTTTCAATTTATTTTTAGTATAAACTTAGTTCAAATAATTATTAAAAAGAATTTTAAAAAGAATTATTATACTAATTATATATATATATATTTTTTTTTAATATTAAGATAAGTAATTATGACCTAGAAGTTTATTAATAATTAGTTAACATATAACTATTGTGTACAATAGCTATAGAGCCAATTATAAAAAGAGTATACAACTAGCTATTTATATAACTTTAGTCATTGTTTATTTTAAGTAGTTCACTTGAAGGTTTTATACTAGTTGTTATATCTAAAATCTGTCTATAGGTTTTTTATTTAAACACTCTAGTTCTTATATCTACTCCTACTCTATCAACTGCAGTGTTGATTTGCAAATATATTATAGTTACTAAGTCATGTTTAACTTTATACTAAGCTTTTTGTATTCTATACTTATAGCTGACCTAGTACTGCTCTGGTCTAAGCTATCACTTGCAGTCAGAACTAACTATTAAACTGCTATATCCTTGTAAAGTTCACTAGGACCTTGATACTTTTTTTTTTAATATCTTCCTCTTATTCTAAACCTACAAGATTTTCTAAACTACCAATCCAAATAGCTCAGTATGATATCTTAAGATTTTTTTTCTCTGATGATTTCTGGTGGCCTGGTTGGTATATGCTTTTCTATACATATTGTTATCTGTTCTATCCTAGTTATTCTTTTTGAAACTTCTGATAGTCTAGTAATACTATTGAAAGTTTATGCTACCTCTTTACTTAGGATTTCTAAGTAGATTTCTATGCTTTGGTTTCTTAAAGTTATATGCTTAGTGATTTTATTGTGAATTTGCATCAAAGTCTTATACAATACTGGCTACTTAACATTTCTTTATATATATATAACATTACATTTTGCATAGATGCTCTAAGCTCTTATTCAAAATGATGTGCCTAAGATTACAGATCTTTTTCTTTTGTTCAACTGATCAACAAGACACAGTTATCATAACACAGATATAATTATTCAAAATTTGCCATCTATAGGATTTGAACACTAGACCTGCCACTTAGAGCTGAAAACATGTTCACTTCACTAAGTTGTCACACCTCTATACTAATTATATTAAATGTTTTAATTAATATTATTTTTTAATAATTATATGCCTAACCTTGCATATTTGCTTACAATTTTATTAATTTTATTTTTATATATCACAGTATAAAAAAAAATTTACTGTAAAAAAAACTTAACTTAATATACAAATTATCTAAGTTATACTTATTTTTTAGCTTAAAACTTCTTTAATACAAGTATATATAAAACAAAATTAAAAAAATTAACTATTTTAAAACTAAAATTTTTAATTTATATTGAATACTAATTTAATTCAAATAATTATTAAAAAAAGTATTAGTAATTTTGATAACTATCTATTTAAATTTAATAAATTTTTTTTAAAAAATTTCTAATTTGCATTATAGATAATTATTACTTGTATTGTTATATCTTAAAAATAAGACTAAGAAACAGAATCAGATATATTAAATAAAAATGCTTAAAATCTCAAAACCTTATATAACTAAAATTTGAACTATTATATCTAATTTCTGCCTTTATCTTAAACTGCATACTAACTTTAAATTATAGCAAAACCTATATTACTATAGATAGTTATTGGATTTTTCTTTTTTTTTATTAATTTTGTATACTTAAGAATTAAAATAAAAAATATTTTATTAAATTAAATCAATAATTGTTAAAAATTATTTTAATTTAATAAATTTTTTTATAGAATTGTAAAAATTTTTTTCAATATTTTGATTACTGTTACATCACGTGACTGTAAAATTTTTGTGAGTATTGTGCCGACAAAAAAATTTGACTTTGTAAATTAACATTAAAGGTATAGCCATAAACTATTTTTCATTATATGTAAAATTTAGTTCCCGACATTTTTAATCAGTGCATAAAGGCCGATTTAAACACTAGTTTTAGAGTATTTTCGAACTCACTGATTGGCTATTTTCTTTTTATGAGTTTGTATTACCAGCACAAATAAGCAGGGTTGTTAATGGAGTGACATACTCCAGAGCAGCTCTGCCCAACCCAAGTTGGAGTTAAAAATATGAAAATATGTTGGAGTGAAACTGGTGCAGCTGTAAGCAAACCTGGAGTGGCTCCAGAGTGAACCCAACCGAAGCTGGAGTGGATTGAGGAATATTTCAACCCAACCCATTAACAACCCTACAAATAAGTAAAAGCCTACTATAAAAATTTACGGGTCGTGAAATTTTGACCCTGCAGCGAATATTCGCTCATAAAAAAATTTTTCGACCGTGATTTTTAGCCAATTATATTAAAGGATCAGGTGTAACGTGAAAATTAAAAAAACATCAATAATTCGAATTTTGTCTATGAAACAGTCTTCCGCGTTCTAACAAAAAAAAAATCCTTGCGAAATTTTGGTATAGAATATGCCCTTTCTTGGCTAAAACCCAAACTCAAAAGTAACATCTCGGAAAATTTTTGTGGGTGAGCTACCAACATCACCCATAAAAAAAAACATTCTTTGTAAATAAAATAAAATAATTTTAAATTGATTACTAAGCGATTCGTATTTAACAAATATAATGTCGTAAATGGGAATGGAATTTAAGTGGATTTGGAATTGCCTAGTTAAATTTGGATTAGGGTTAGGGTCAAAAAATGCGGGTTTTATATAAAAATTCCAAATCCCGTTTTCACTTGCAACATAAATACTATATAAAATGTGGCGTCAGCGGTATTTTTTTCTATGGCTGATGTTAGGGCTGTTCAACAATGTAGTGAATGGTCTGATCATGGGATATTCTAACCGCCACCTTCGCCATAATGCACTGCTTTCTTTGTGGCTAGATATGAACAGGTAAATAAACGTTAAAGACAATTCTGTGGAGATAATAAACATAAACATATGCAGTATGATGTAACAAACGAATAATGGTTGATACGTACAAAGCGGTAATAGTATATCACTTGATCGTACAAAGCTGAAATTACACCAATACCCGTATTTCGTATATAAGCATGCATGACACCTGTTGATTTCTTGAAAACAAAATGTTCTTAAAATCTTCCATTATCCAAAGTTTACTTTTCGCCATACTTTTCTCATTGATTCTCAAATATTTCAATACAAATACTTTATCATGGAAAAAAGTAAATGATTTTCCACCTATAATTTCGTCTCTTGACTATAACCTAATTTCAATTATTCTCTTTTTTATATCTATCTCTTTATCATTCAATTCTCCTACCACCAAAACGCACTTCTTTATTCTTTATTCGTTAACTTTTCTTCAAATTTTATTTCCGTTATTATACAATGGTAGATATCATTGTACGCTTCAAGCAGTCAACTCTGTTTTTAATTTCGTAATTGCCTGCAAAATGTTATTGTGGTTAAAACAATGCCATTTATCTAACACACAAAAATTTGAAACCAATCCTTTTTTTTCAACTCTATTTGCTTGGCGACCTGACGCGTTAGAGATTGACAGATCAGATCGGAAATATATCGATCAGATCACTTTAAAAAATTATTTTATTAATCAAGGAAGACGTGTTGCAATAATTATTTTAAAATATATTATTTTTGATTTTATATGCGAATGGGCTGAAGCTTACCAACCAATTGTCCCAGATAGATTTTATGTGCTTCGATTTATTGATTATTTTTTTACAGGAAAACCATTTATTACACCATTTTATTTATTTTATCATTATGCCTTGGCAGTAATGTTATATATTTATATTTCTTTGTTTTATGACTTTTTTTTGTTTTGCTATGGTCTATTATTGCTCCCGTTGCTTCAAATCAATCAATCTACTCAGAACTCGATCGATAAAGTCTCCGAATCTCAACATAAATTTCAACTCTTTAAACCATCAACTATAAAAGGAATTAAAGAGTGGTTGATCATTTTGTTATTCTATACGAAAGTTCCAATGAATTTACCTTTCATGTCAACGAGTCCTCGAGATTTTTGGTCGAAGCGTTGGCATTCTGTACTTAGGGAAATTTTTCTATACTTAGGCTATGTTCCCACCAAAAATCTTTTTGGTAATCATAAAAAAATTGGAAATATTTTTGGAACATTTTCGGCTTTTTTTGTTAGTGGATTATTGCATGAATACATAGTTTATTGTATGTGGGGTGCTAGACCAGGTGAACAAATGATTTTCTTTTTGTTTCATAGTATTTTGTTTATCCTTTGGGAAATTGTTGAAGGGTTGTTAATTGGAAATAGAACAGTCTCACATAAAGCAGAAAATAATTGGGGAAGATGGTTATTTAAATTGTTGTTATTTAATATTATCGGAGTCTTCACTATTCCATCATTTATGGAACCTTATCTCCGTAATGAGTCTTTCTCTTGTGTAATGCGGTTTGGATTGTTTCATAATACTGTAAAATGTGATTAAGTTAAGAGGTCAAAAACTTGAAGTAAAAAGGTGGAATAAATGATTTAGATTGTGGATAAGACACTATTTATAGAATTTAGATTGTGGATAAAAAACATTGTTTATGGTTTATAATTAATGATCTCATTCTAATCGTATGTAAAGATAGTACCTACAGCTTAGTATGGCGTCTGTTTGAACTATAACCACATTGTTATTCTGATTAATTAACTTAATTAAACGGTTTGTTCCAAGCCTTTTAATTTAATGTATAGTAACTTTGTTCTTTATACAATAAGATCTTTTTATTTAATCGACCCGATTCAACCTGGTTAGTGAATTGACTTCAAAATTGATTCGAACCAAGTCAATCCAGCTTAAATGAAGATATAATTTTTTTACATTAATTTATTATCTTGCGTTTGTGAATATTTATTAACAATAATTTAGAATAGAGTCTGTACGATTTCATTATCACCGAACCGACTCATCATCGTGAATCGTAATGCTAATAGCAATTGAATTTTAATCTGCGTTTACTAGACTATTTTGGTGGTTATGGTAGGAGTGTTCGTAACATTGCTTTAAAACGGTATCAGATCGAAGAAATTAAGTATATATCATTGAATTTGTACCATTACTAATAACGAGTTACAAAGATTGTAGATAAATAAATAGCTAATTATTGAAGTTATTATTCTATTTAGTTGTTTAACTCAATGTTACTGTATTTTAATATTTATATTTTTTTCTTTTCTCTTAAATTTTATTTTTACCTTTTCTGCTTTATTTTAAATGGAAGATCTTATCATTCTTTAGTCCTTACTGATAAAATTTATTTTAATGATGGGTTCAATATTTTTAATATTACTACGAATGAATTCTTTTATTTGAATGGTTTTAAACCATTTATAACAATAGACTAAACTTCAATACTATGGATGACCTTATATTGTAAGTCTTTAAAAATATTCGGCCAAAGCTCGTATTAGTGAAAAGATATTTTATTTTTGGTGTAATCACACCCACGCAAAAATTCCCCTCTAACGTGACTTAATCCTAACCCTAAAGATTGTCTACACCTGATCTTTCGATTTAATTGGATAAAAATCACGAGGGGGATTCTGTGGGAACTATATTAATCAATTTGATATAAGTAGCAGTGGATTAATACCATATCTACTGGAAGTGCACCCGCAATTAAAAATAGCATTTCATGTGCTTGATTTAAGGTGCTCTCAAGCAGCACATCAATGTGACTAGCTAATGATTGTGGTGTACAACCATTATAATGATATCCATTGTCGAAGACCACTAGTGTGAGTAATAGTATAATTGAATAACCTCCTCAGCAGTGTTAAAAATTCGGCACAAATATGTTGTGCAGAAAATTTTTTTTATACATAAATGTTATTCTATTTTTTGTGCATTTGCACAGCCCTATTGTTAATTTTGTGCAAATAACAATACGTGCACAACGAATTTTTAACACTGCTCCTCAGTGGATTGAATTTTGATTATGTTTGATATTACGATTAATGATGTTGAGTGAACACCTTTACTAGTATTACATTTAACCATTATTATATTTTCACAAGGTCGAAATAAAAAAGTGATGAATCGACAAAGAATAAAGTAATATTTACAACAATACATAACCACATACTGTGTCCCTATGGCAAGTTTTGTAACAGAATTTTTTTTAAATACAATAAATAAAGGCAGAACCCACGAGCATTCGAATATAAACTAGAAAAATGGCATCGTTTTGTAGGCTGAAGCTCTAAATCTTAGGTCTTATACTTTAAAAATTTAAGTCTTATTGCTATTCCTTATAAAAAATAGCATTTAAAGTTTTATAAATGGCTATTATTTATAAAATTATATTTATAACCAGTTTTATAATCTAATATAATTGAAAGAAAAAATTCCTTACAAGTAGTATAATAATTATGTCAAAGATTTGCAACAGCTTCACGAAACCTTTTGAAAAAATTACTATCATTATTAGTAAGTTGACAGTCAAGTGACGTTTTCATTTTCTAAAATATTTGCTTGTTCGTCTTGATTTATATTCTCTTTCGCTTTATAATTAGTTTACCGACGTTTGCGACGAGCCTACCTCTTTTCTGATTCACTTTTTCGATAACCTAACTGCTGTTCTTCAGTTATTGAACTTTTTCGTTTCTTTCTCGATTCATTCCTTATAGCTATTTGTTCGGTGTATAAGTTCTTTTTTGTTTTTGCATTTTAACCCAAATAAATAAAGAACGTAACCAAAAACCTTTTATTATTCGAAATACATGCTTATGATACAATAACATATTTATGATGATATAGAATAATTCTTATTTTCTAACTGATAAATTTCTTACTATTAATATTTTATGATAATAGTCGATACATAGGAATCCTTACTTTAAAACTGATAAACTATTTTTTATTAAAAATCAGTTTATATATTCTATTCAAAGTCAGCTATTATATTAAACCAAGGATCAGGTATCCAAACGTTGATCCTAATTTAAAGCTCAATTCTGTTTATTGAACCTAAAATTTGGGTCTGATTTCTAGTTGTACTAGGTTGGTTTCAATATTTTTACCTACTTTGTAACAGTTTATGCTCTTAACGACTTATGATTTTCAGGGAACTATAAAAATGTAGGAATTATATTAATTTTATAACATCTTGCCTTTTTTATACACACAATAAAATTAACTACGTACGTATTCAAGTCTCATATTTTATAATTTTAATCATAATTGATTAGCTCATGATAATATATTGTATTAATAATAAAATAATCAAATAATACTTGCTATTATAATTAAATATACCAACGATTTTTAAAAATAATTGATTACCGTACAGCGTGGACTAAAATACCCAGGGTATTTTACAATTTAAACTATATATATGGGTATAGGTTGTATCATCACTTCTGATACGTCATATGTTTTAAAATAAATTAAAAAGCTTATTAATAATATTAAATCTAATGACTGTTATTTTAAACTATACTTTTAGGATTAT